GTCAATGATTTGGTTTAATTATATGATAATTGTTCAAACATTTTGCAGGATGGAATATTGAAAAACCGGAGTACATATGAAATATTATCACCAGAAGATGTTGGCATTGTAAAATCTCAAAATTCCGGCATTCTTCTTGGAAAACTTAGGTAATTAAGTGATATTATCATGACTTTACTTAATTAACTTAGACGTATGTACCATTGTTTAATTTATTTATATAAAAAAACAATATATGGAAATATGCAGTGGACGTCATGCTGTGAAAGGTCGGCTGGAAGAGGTATTTTGATTTTATAATGATCATATATTATCAAATAATAGATCAATATTAATTTGAGAAGTCATTATTTAATATACTTGTATATGTTTATTTTTTATTTGCAGTTGGGATATGAAATGGATGATAAGAAATTGAACGACATCTTCTCACGATTCAGAGACTTAACCAAGCAGAAAAAGGTTTCATTTTTCTATTTTAGTTCTTCTCGTGCACGTTTTGATTTAATATAGATATATTTAATCATATGATCTAATTATATAAAACTAGATTCATACTCACACGTTGCATGTGATTTTAATTTTAAACGGCTAACAATACAAATAATTATATATAAATATTTTTATTTTAGCTTTAAACGATAAATTTGTATACATAAATTTTATCAAGCAATATACAACATAAATATTATTGAGAATATTTTTGTTTTCATTGAAAAGTAATGAATCGTTTACTGACACGTAGTAACAAAAATCAACTGTGAACCTTACGGAGAACGAAACGATTTTTGTGACAATCTCATGATCCTTAATTTTGTGGAGAGTTTTTATACTAAAAAAAATTGGAAATTTATTATGAAATTTGAATTGGTCAATTTTCAAATATAATATTTTCTACTATATATTTTATAAATTATTTTATAAATACCAATCAAATCTGTATCTTAGTATATTATTTAATTTATTATTATTTTTTTATATAATAACACTCATTTTCGTAAAAACAATTTTAAGTGAGATTGTGCAGCTTTCTATCAAAATTTTCCATTGTTCATATAAGTATTCATAATTAAATCCATATTTCTCCAATCCAAAATTATATTATTGTAACTACTTTTATTAGTACATTATTTGAGTTATTAACTTCTATCAAGTTCATTAGAATTTATCTTATTTTTCATATATTAATATTAATGATGTTATTCTTCATATTTTAAATAAATATATGAAATAGTTTTTAATAAAAAATTGTTTGTTTTGCTGATGCGGACATTTTAGGAGGAGAGAAAAATCCCTGATTATATAATTTTTTTTTAACATTTGATGTGTTTCAAAATTGTTCAGAGAATCACAGATGATGATCTGAAAGCATTAGTAACGTGTTGTGATGAAATCTCCTCAGAGAAATTAAACGCCGTTACTAACGGAAAAGAGACTAACGGATCTATGCCAATCCCTCAGACCTCCTCTGTGGTATAAAGTGTGAACAAACGTTTGATGTTTTCGTTTGTGTAATATCAAATTCTATATCATATGCAATGCATGTGCTGCTGTAATGAAGAAAAGCATAATTAAGAAGAAACGTTTTTCATTTCTGTATATGAAAAAAAATTGTAAAAGTACATGTGTTTTTTTTTTTTGAAAACGGACTTAAAATACATGTGTTTGATAACAAAGTCCTATCGTCGATTTCTTAGTGTTTTAAATATTATATGAAATAAAGAAATGTGGAAATAGTTGTTCAAAAAAAAAATGTGGAAATAAAAATTATGGTACTTAAAATTGCAACATAAATACATTATCATAATAAAATTTAGAAAATCATAAATTTATTACAATCTAATTTAAGTACGATAACGACAATGTATCAATATTGCAATTACAGTTTTAACCGTTCATATTCCGCAATTTATTTTCAATAATACAAAATTGTTCTAAGAAAATTGTTTTCAACATTTCGTATCACGGAAAATAGTTTGTTTTGAGTAGTTTGGACAAAGAATGTTTGACCAAAGAAAAAGAGCAAAGATCAACAAAAATAGAGCAAATCCACCACAATTTGCAACGTATATGTGACAACCAATTTACGATAAAATTATCTGTCGCATTTTAATATAGTTTCATGACGACTTTATGACAACAAGTTTACAACAAATGAACAACACTACAAAATATGTTGCAAATATTGCAACGAAATTTTTGACGAAAACTAATATGAGTTAGAAAATTTGCAACGATGTTTTCTATTGCATTTGATATTTGCCTTAAGATTGCTTGTTCGCTTGCCCTTTTTAGCATCAAACACAAATTAATAACAACAATTATATTATTTTTTCCACGGTTGTTAAAATTTATGGTTTTTTGATTCAAAACTAATTGGTCATAACTCATAAGTAAATTGGTTAATGTCTTTTTATATTGCTTAAAATCTACTACATTTTTTATGTGGAATATTTTTCACGCGATTTTTTAGTGATATATCTTCCAACTATTTGTTTCAATAATATTCCAACATAGAATTAGTTTCAGATTAGATGGACCTAATTAATTTCGAGCCATGCCGATTCAGATCATATCAGTCATGTCACTTTTGGACTAAATCGATTTTGGTTTGTTAAATCGTGTGTTCGAACTCTATACCATAAAAAATGAAAGAAATAAAATATTAATGAGTTTTATAATTGAATTATTTTGATATAAAATCCTAATATAGTAGTTAATAATAACGCTATTACCCCCGTATTGTAAAGTTTCTTCCAAATCTAACATATAAATGAAATATAGCAATTTCCTAAAATTAATATCGAGATCTAAATTCTTTGTTTGGAATTCACGGATTTAATTATAGTCAAGTTTTGATGTTCCATAATAATTGGTCTGTAAAAAATATATTTTGCTTCCAAACTATTTATAATATGTACTTGTATAGGTAAACATCAATATGTCGTATAGTATAACAAAATTCAAAAAATATTATTTCGACAAAAATACATAATTACTTGAAAACTTAATTAATTCTGCTAGCTAGACTAATTACAATTATCCAGTATGTGTTTACTCTAATTGTGATATGCTTTAGCCATTTCTTGAAGAAGTTTATTTTTTATGTAATCGATTGAACTACCATCTGAAATCGCGTTTAAG